AACTGCCCTTTTCCTACATTTTTTGTGGTATTGGTTATTGAATTCAGGGCTTTTGCACTGAGCTATAATCCCAATTCATTATTTATTTATTTTTTTAAAAAATTTTATTTTCAGACAGAGAGTCTCATTGAGTCACTAAGTTGTACAGGCTGGGTTTGGACTTGTGACCCTCCTGCCTCAGCTTTCCAGAATACTGGGGTTACAGGCTTGTGCTACCAGGCCAAGTTCCTACTTTTAGACTTCATTATATCCTGTTTCCCACACATAAATTCTGTGTTCTAGAGCAAAGGTGCTCTCCCTTCCTTCCAGAGATGCTGTTTTGTTTTGTTTTATTGAGACCAGGTTTTGCTGGGTACAGTAGTTCCGTCTGGTCCTAAATTCACACTGTACCCAATGCTGGCTTCAAACTCACAGCAATCCACCTGCCCTAGCCTCTGAGTGCAGGGATTGTAGGAGTGATTCCATGCCTGGCCCAGAGATGCTCTTTTGTTGTTGTTGTTCTGAGGATTGAATTTAGGGCCCTGCTCATGCTAGGCAGGTGCTCTACCACTTAGCTACATTCCATTTACTTGTAGACATATCTTGCTAAGTTGTCCAGGCTGGCCTTGAACTTGCCTGCCTCAGCCTCCCAATAGTTAGGATTATATAGGCATGTGCCATCACACCTGGCTGATGCCCTGGTTTTTCTTAAAAATTGAATAGTAGCCCATGGTGCCTGCCTCACAAGCCCAAGGTCCTGAGTTTTATCCTTGGTATTGAAAAAAAAAATTGAATAGTGGCAAGTAGTCATTCAGCAAATGCCCCTTGAGCCGCACTGCCAGTGTCTGTGTGCATCAGAGAACAAAGCAGACCGTCTGCCTGGTGGAGCTGCGTTCCAGGGCCGCGTCCCAGGCTTCTCTGGTGTTCCTCATGCTGTGCCGGCCAGGTCCTGGGCCATAGCTGTGTGTAGCCTGTGCCTGCCAGCCGGATGCTCAGTAGTTGCCTGCAAGGTGGACAGGCACATCTGAGAGCCTGGTTCATCACTGTGCTCCCAGAACAGGGATGAGGACACTCCTGACCCTGAAGGGGTCAGAAACAGTCTGACAGGAGTTGGGTTCCTGGGTGACTTGGAGACCTGGGCCCAGATGAGCTGAGTGTGCACACACATGTGCTGTTAAAACAGCGCAGGCGCGCACACACACACATACATACACACTCAGATACACTCACCCACACATACTCAGTAACACAAATGTACACAAGTACACTTACATACACTTCAGTATACTTCAACATGAACACACATTCAAATACAGTAATACACAAATACACAAATATACACAAGAACACGCACTCATATACACTCATACTGATCTGTACATAAATACCCATGTGCACGCATACACAAATACAGACTCACACACACTCATACACCCCTACACACAGACGTGGGTGTACTGAAGAACACCTACATACTTAAACACCCTCGTATGCACAGGCACATTCATTTGCACAAGCTGTGTGTGTGAGCTGCTCTGCGGTGGTGGTGTGTAAATTCGGATCTCAGCAGAAGCTGCTGGCTCGCAAAGGTTGAGACTTGGTGTCTGAAGGCACCTGTGCCCTTGCACTGGCCGTGCTGGCCAGCATGGGAGAGGTCATTGTTCAGAGCATGACAGGGAGACTGCAGCAGGGGCTGATGAGGCCTCCCTTAGGTGTTTCCAGGTCTACCTTGCAGCTTTCCTTTATTTTCTTCTTCAGCTGTAAGGCCAGGAAACGCAGCCATGTTTTAAATCCTGGAATGCTGAGTCATTCACACAGAACCTAGGCACCACCTGCTTTAGAATACCGCCCGCTCTGCACTGAGAGCTGCTTTAAGAATTAGGGTTACCCGGCGACCACTGCAGACCATACTGGGCAACAGAAGGGAACCCGTGCATGCTGTGCTCACACAGCACTGATTGAGTACTCCCTTCTCACCTTCACTTTGTTCATTTTAACTGCAAAGAATGTTTTTGTGTTTGTTTTATTTTGTTGCTAGTACTGGGGATTGAGCCCAAGACTTTTGCCCTCAGTGATATCTCCAACCACTTTTTTGTATTTTTGTTTTGTCACAAGGTCTCACTAAGGCTTGGCATGTACTTGTGATCTTCCTGCTTCAGCCTCCCTGGGTGTAGGAATTCCAAGTGTGCACCACCATACCCAGCAAGAGCATTTTTTTAATTGCTGTTTTTCCCTGTACTGAAAACTGAACTGACTTTTAACCCTCATTTCCTTGTGTATTTGTTTTATCTTGCAGCAAGCCATTAAGCAACAAAACTCTCTGTGGTATTTCTCTGCTTTGTGCTTTGTGAGTGAAGTGTGAGCGAAGTCTCTGTAAGGAGGCTGCATTATTAGTTTTTGGTTTGTATGTCTCCCAGCTGTAAGCATATAGGGAGTGTTTTTTTACCCCCAGTACTGAAGATTTAACCCAGGGCCTTTGTGCTGAGTTACATCACTCACCCTTTTTAAATGTTAAGGCAGGATCTGGGATGTTGCTAAGTTGCCCAGCCCGGGCTCCAACTCATGATCCTCCTTCCTCAGCTTCCCAGATTGCTGGAAGTTTTTTTTTTCCTTTCAGATTTACATGTTATCTGGCTTTTGAAAGCAGTGTATTAGTTATAGAGACACTGGGATATATGGAAATTACATTCCTTTGTTTAAACCTCTTCTTGGCTCTACTGAAGAGTATTTTTGTTTCAGTTTTCATTTCTATTAGTACATGTTTGCAGTACATAATGATTGTATTCCTCCTGGGGATGAAGACTCTGATTTGCACATAATTTATAAATATTTCACCTTGTCTCCTGACTCCCCTGACTTGACTTGGTCAGGTGAATGTCAAATGTGCAGGTGTACAACAGGTGAAGCCTTCCAGTAGTGGGTGATTTTCCAGCAGGTTACATGCCTGTTGGTCCTGACTGTGTGGCTGATGAGTTGAGGGTCTGGGGCCAGCATCCACATGTTGAGCTGATGCAGGGTGTGGGAGAGTCGGAGTTTCAAGGACCTGCCTTCACTGGGCATGCGTCTTCTCTCCTGCAGGCTCGCCAGTACACCCGGTCATCGAGTGGGGGGGATCGATGCAGATGCCTCAGGGGAACCCGCTGCTGCTGCCCTACACCCTGCAGGAGCTGCTGGCCAGGGACAGCGTGCAGGTGGAGCTCATCCCGGAGAAGAAGGGCCTCTTCCTGAAGCACGTGGAGTATGAGGTGTCCAGCCAGGTACTGCCAACTGTGTGCAGCTGTGGGGTGGTGGGCAGGAGAGGGTGGTAGGGACCAGGCCAAGGTGGTGGGAGGGGAGAGGGTCTGTGCCATTGGCTCAGAAGTATGTATGGCCCATGCATCTGGCATCAGCCAGTGCCAGCCCTGCCACATGGTCTAGTCCACCTCACCTCCATTGTACCCTGAGATCCTGTTGCTTGGGAATCTTCTTTTGAGACATGGTCTCACTATGTAGTTCAGGCTGGCCTTGAACTCACTATGTATCCCAAACAAGCTCACAACAGTCCTCCTGCCTCAGCCTCCCAAGTGCTGGGATTACAGGCATGTGCCACCATGCCTAGGTACTTGAGAATCTCTGATGGACAACCTCAGAGCACAGACTGTGGATACAGGCTTGTGCTGTGGTTGTTTTGTGGTGCTGCGGATCTCTGAGGATCACAGTATGGAGTCTAAGTAGTCAGTGAGGTTTGCATGCAAGATTGACCTGTGTCCTGTGCTAGTCCCGTGGAGTCTGAGCTCATCTATGCAGCAGTGTGGCAGTGGGTGTGGGTGTCACTCAGGTGTCATCCTGCGCTGTGTCAGCTGTGTTGGTCTGTGTTCCTTTGTCCATTATCTTGCAGTATCATGGTTTAGTTAAGGTGGATTTGGGGGAGTTTTCTTCATCCTGTAACTGAGTAATCGATAAGCTAGCACCATCTATGGGAGTGGTGTAGTCCTTGGTGTGTGTGTGTGTGTGTGTGTGTGTGTGTGTGTGTGTGTATGTGTGGATTTCTGAGGACAGAGCAGGGCCTGCATTCCTGGGGGAGAAGGTGGTCCCTCACCACCAGGGTTTGTCTGAAAAGTTTCATGAATGTCTCAAGTCTTGTCCCTGGAAAAAGGTGAGTCCAGAGTCCCAGCAGCTTATCTGTCACTACTGTCTGCTGTGTTTTGTAGTGTCAGGAATCACCAGATTTAATTCCCTCTCTCCCTTCCTCCCTCCCTACCTCCTTGTACCTTCCTTTCTTCTCTCTGTCTCTTCTTTTGTGTTTTGAGTTAGGGTCTTGCTATGTAGTCCACACTGGCCTTGAACTCACTATGTAACCCAGGCTGGCCTTGAACTCAGAGCAGTCTTCCTGCCTCAGCCTCCTGAGTGCTGGGATTACAGATGTGTGTCACCACGACTGGCTGTCTTTTTTCTTTCTTTCTTTCTTTTGCTCTACTTGGGACTGAACTCAGGGCCTTCACACTGAGCTACATACCCAGCCTCTTTTAAAATTTTGAGACAGAGTCCCAATAATTCACTAAGTTACTGAAGCTGGCCTCCAACTTGTGATCCTTGTACCTCAGCTTCCCAGAGTGCAGGGATTATAGGTGTGCAGCATAACACCTGGTAGTAAGGCTTCATAGTGTGGTAAGGCCTGTGACAAAACCATTCTAAGGTTTGTGGGTGCTCCTGCCAAGGGAAGGAGGTGGATGTGGAGGAAGCTCACTCTAAGACCACCTCAGGGATAGCACAGCCATCTGGCATCATGGTTCTTGCCTTCTCTTAGCAGTTGGGGTCCTGGGCACAGGCTGGTGTGGGGCCCCAGGTGGAGAGCACCAGCCCTTGCTCCTAGGCCTGACTTCCTGGTGGTGGGAAGCTGCTGCTGTCCCTTGAGCCGGCCTTTCCCGACTCTGGCCTGCCCACTCCTTAAGTAGGTTGGTGCCTGGTGTGAATGTGTAAGAGGAGGTGTTTTGCCTAGGCCACCTGAATGGACTCTCCACCTGCTCTCATGGACCCATGGTCTGCCTTCTGGGTGTAGGTTCCACTGTCTTCCCTGTTTGTTGTGAGTCCTGAACAAAGGCAGTGTGATGTGGGTGTGGCTTGGGTGGAGGTGGATACACTGGCCTTAATATTTTGTATCCCTGTTGCAGTATTGGGGATTGGATACAGGGCCTTCAAAATGAGCTACACCCCAGCACTTTTTATATTGAAATAGGGTCTCACTAAGTTGCTAAAATGTCCAGGATGGGGTCAAACTTGGAATCCTTTTGCCTCAGCCTCTCAGAAGTGTGGGATAGCAGGCATGCACCACCATACCTGTCTTAGTTTTTTTTTTTTATCCCCCCCAGATTTTTTTTCCTGGTGCTTGGGATTGAACCCAAGGCCCTGAACATACTGGGCAGTGTATTTGGTTTGACATTCCTCCTTATGCCTTTTTTGTGTAAGCTCTTAGGGCAGATCCAGGTTAGGTTACTCTAGTGAGTCTGGGGCTCGCTCATACCCTGACCTGGTGGCTTTCATGGTGCAGCATCTGCTGTTGTAGTCACTAATGGTCAAGGCTCAGTTTGTGCTTGGACAGCTGCTCATGTGTTTGGCAGTCGGGAGTGATGCTGGCAGTGAGCGCTGCCGACAGTGAGGCAGAGAATGAAGGACTGTTCTGTGCTGGCTTTGGAGAGAATTGCAGAGCCCACCTGAGGTGAAACAGCTCCTGGGGAGTCTTGCCAGGACAGAGCCAGCCAGACATTAGCAGCTGTATGTTGGAAGTGAAGGAATTCAAGGATTTCTTCTTCCAGTGAAGGCCTGGTGAGAGAGGATGAGGAACTGGGGGACAGAGGAGGGCATGTGGGTTCTGTGGAGTGGTGGGAGAAAAGGGGAGGGGGCTCAAAGGTTCTGATATCTAGTCTGAGCACTGAACCTCTCCTCACAGCGCTTCAAGACCTCTGTGTGCCGTCGGTACAATGACTTCGTGGTCTTCCATGAAATGCTGCTGCACAGGTTCCCGTACCGAATGGTGCCAGCCCTTCCACCCAAGAGAGTGCTGGGAGGTAAGCAGATTTTCGGACTCAGGTGTGGGTGGGGGTGAGCCACCCCCACTGCAGATGGGACATTGCTCTTGTCCTGATTCCTGGATGGGCTGGCCACATTGGCCATCAGGATGTCACCGCTGTGGCTGAGTCCCGGATACCCTTGGCTCACTGGAGCCTTCTGGCTGGATGACTTGACATGTAGGGAGGCCCTCCTCGTCCAATGTGAGAGAAGTAAACCGGTCTTTTCAGGGTTGGGACCAGGTCCTCCAAAGCTCCCGGGAGGGTGGCCAAGGACCCTGTTTGCTCGTGGTATCGCAGTTAGTTTCTTGTGTTTTCACAAAGCCCCTCAACCCCAGGCAGCGAGTGCTGAGCTGCACTGGGAGAACTCCTGGAAGAGGACAGGTGCAGATGTAAGCTGGAATCCAAGTTCCATCTTATGGGAGGTGAAACCTTACAGTTGGGTGCCACATCTTCCTGTGCGACTAGAACATTACACTGGGCAAGATGGGAGGATGTGGGCCTTCTGCAGACCCCCTAGACTGGCCTCTTCCTCACAGGGTTCCAGAACATGGGGATCTCACTGGTTTTCCCTCCTGTAGCTCTTTTCTCTAAATCTGAATAAACTCTGAGCTAGGCCAGCCATCCTGAAGCAACTAACTGGGTGCTTGAGGGGACAAAACTTGAGAACTGTGTGGTCCAATTTCTGGCGTACTGAAGTCTCTTACTATGGACATAACTACTCATGGTGGCTGCTCTCAGTGTCTGATGACAAGGTGTTTTTCCTGCCCCACCTGCACACTGGGACGGGCTGTGCCCCTCATGTGACAGTACAAGGATTGCTAAGAGTAGTAAGAACAAGCTGGGCAGGGGTAAAGTGCTGTTGCTCACTCCCCACATTAGAACTAGTTAATCGCAATCAGCTGATTAATCACATGCAGCCTTTTAGTCCTGGGATCCAGAGTTTATATAAGTGTAGCCTTGATACAGAACAACTCCTAGTCTTGACGAGGAAGATGGCTTCATCTGACTGTATTTTTCAGTAATTTACAATAAACACTGTTTCCATTTGTGGTCAAATTTGAAGATCTTTAATACATCAAGACACTTTTTTCCTGGAGTGAAAATATTTCCTCCAAATAATAGCAGTTAATAATTGAATCAATTACAGAGTGAAGTTATAAGTGATATGAATCAAGAACCCAAGTGTGTTAATTTACCAGGAAGCAAAACACATTTGTTCATAGAAGTATCAGAAAGGGATTATAGAGGACGCCTTCAATGTAGATGATCAGAGTGAGGAATCTTTTGTTTCCCAAAAGTCAGGCTCTTTGTATACACCTATAGGCCAGCTATGTGGGAGGCTGAGGCAGGAAGATCACTTGAGCCCAGGAGTTTGGGGGATATCCTGAAAGTATAGTCTCAAAACAAACAAAAACATAGATGAAACCTGGGTACCAGTAGTCTTTTTTTTTCTCAGTACTGGGGATCGAACACAAGACCTTGCTCTTTCGCCAGGCAGGCACGGTGCCACTGAGCTACATCTCTGTGTGTCACTAGTCTTTTTAAATGTGTTTATATGGTGCTCGAGATTGAACTCAGGGGCCTACACATTTAGCCAAGCACTCTACTACTGACCTGTGTCCCCAGACCTCCCGCTCTTTGAGACACTGGCCACTAAGTCTCTAAATTGCCTAGGCTGGACTTGAACTTTTGATCTGCTGCCTCAGCCTCCCAGTGTGCTGGGATTACAGTTGTGAGCCACTGGGGCTGGCTCTTTTTTTATTTTGAGACAGGGTCTCATTCATTAAGTTGCCCAAGGTTGCCTCAAACTTGCAGTCCTGTGCTGCGTCAACCTCCTGAGGAGGTGGAATTACTGGGATTCTGCACCACATCCAGCACAGTAGTCTTGATTGAAATTGATAGATCTCACTTCTCCTTGGGAATTCCTGAACCCCAAGGTGATAGGTGGGGGCGCCGAAGTGGGCCCCTGTTGCTCCTCTGTGCTCCTGGAGTCTTGTCTGGGTGTAGCCTATGCCGCAGCCCTGGCCAGCCACAGGGCTGTGCTGATCTTGCTGCTGAGGTGCTTGGTGGTATTCAGAGAGCCCTTAGGAAATGACTGCTTCTCAGAGGTGTCTCCAGGTGTAGCAGGCTTTTTGGATTTTGAGCCTATTGCAAGATCCTACCTCTTCAATTTATTGGGGATAGGAAGTTGCTACCTACTTGGCCCAGCATCTGGATCTTTGGCACTGGTCTGTAGTATTTTTTTAGACCCTTGGACAGTCTCAGTCTTGGTATACCAGGAAGAAATACTGACTAGTGCAATTATGTCACCTTGTCTGAGGTAGTACAGTCAGCAATAACAATAGCATCAGACACAGCCTAGAAAATGACAAACTGTGGTAACTATTGATTTGCCACCTTTAACTGTATGAATTATATTTGTGGTTATATAACAAAGTCTAAAATGGATCAGAAAATTGCAATATATAAGCCTTCAATATGGGGATTTTTCCTTTAGGGGAGATTTAAAGGGTTGGGGAGGGGGAATAGAGAAATAGAAATAGAGGAAGAGATTAGAAGCAAGGCTGGATGACAAAGGAAGATCACACAAACTTGGTGAAACTGGTGAAGAAGACTGGAGGGAAGGGGAGAAGGAAGAAATAAAAACAAGAACAGAACAACAAACAATAAAACTAGAAACAGGGTTCACACTCATATAAAAACAGGAACAAACAAGGAAAAAACCAAATAAGAACAAAGCCACATGGTGGCACATGCCTATAATCCCAGTATTTGGGAGGCTGAGGCAGGAAGATTGCCTTGAGTTGGAGGCTAGCCTGGGCTGTATAGCTTGTTTTAAGGCCACCTTGAACTACAGAGTGAGATCCTGTCTCAACAAACAAACAAACAAGAACAAAAACCAAAGGGGGGAAAAGACGAAAAAATTTTTAAAAAAGGAAAAAAATGTCCAGTCAAAGTGTGTCTCTTCTGTCATTGGTAAACCCCATGAGCAGATAGAGTCTAGACCTGAGTTGATTAATCCTAGCCAGCCAGACATAGGCTTTATGGCAGGATAGTGGGATAATCCCAGCAAGCCTGAACCTTTAGATCCACTGAAGTTCAGGTTGGTTTCTGGCTATGAAGCTAGAACTTGATTTGTTCAGTTCAGTCCATGTGCCCTTGCCTACTTGAACTCGTCACTCTTCACCACCACACCAGGAGCCACTAGATGGAGCCAGCCTGCTGCTGTTCTGAGATCTGAGCTCAGTTGGCTCTCTCTAAGATGGCCACTGACCAATTGCCCCCTCTGGGGAGATGTCTGAACCTTAACAGCTCACCAGCTACTGCAGTCTGCTGCATCCACTTTGTTCCACTGGTGTGTTTGTGAAGACCTCTGGGGTCGTCAGTAGTCGTCACCATGCATCTTTAGGTTCAAGCCACCCTTCCCATGTTGTGAGTCTGGGCTCCGGGTGAAAGCGCTGTCACCTCCTTCTCTTTGTTGAAATGTCTCTCTTTGATCTTCCTGTGGGGCTTCAATTCCCACTTCAGATCCTTTCTGGGTCCTGGGGACCAACTTCCCACCTTCTCTTCCTCTTTCCGCTGTATTCCAGTGTCAGGACACCAAATCTGTGAGAGACTGTTTCTCTGCTATTCACCACTCCACCGTTTTCCCGGAAGTCTGCTGCTGAGGTGTTTGGGAGCCTTTGTGGAGGCTGCATTCTCAGTGAGGCTGACTCTGTGTGGTGACCCTGTGCCCTTCTTTAGCCGACAGGGAATTCATCGAGGGCCGGAGGAGGGCCCTGAAGCGCTTCATCAACCTGGTGGCCAGGCACCCCCCGTTCTCTGAGGATGCCACCCTCAGGCTGTTCCTCTCATTCAGTGGCCCAGTAAGTGTCTCTATCCTGTGGTGAGTCCCACATGGGCTGGGTTCTGAGGTTCCTGGAGCTCATTCTCCTTCTCGAGTCTGCTTTCCTTTTCCTTCTTCTCTGCCCCCTCCTCCCGTATGGACTCCTCGAAAGATTTCATTTCATTATGGGGCTTCCTTCCTTTCCAATTAGAGGCTTGGCTACAATTTTTAAAGTCATCTTTGGTTTTTACTATGGAGGATTTTGTGTATGGTGTGGAATTGTGTGTTCGCTTTGGGGATTTAGAGTTGATATGCAGAGAGGGATGGTTTGGAAGGTCTTTGGATGAAATAGAGACCACAAATGTGATTAAGTAGAGTGGACCTTGAGTTATGACCAGCCTGACATATGAACAACTTGGGTTATGGCCAGAATTTTAGTTTTAACTTATGAGTAAAGTCTTGAGTTATGACCCGAATGCCAGTCGCTTATGCTTCCAGATAGTCTTAGATACAAATTTAACTCTTAAAGAGTTCTGGAAGGAACAGGACAACATCCTTTCCTGTGTGAGGTTAATTGAGAAATCCTGGACTAGTGTCTCTTTAAGGACCCTGAGATCTGCCTGTATACAGGAGAGAGACTTTGAAGATTGTAGAGAAGCCTGAGCCTTCATTGACCAACTTGAGTTACAACCAGCCCTTGAGAATACATTGAGTTCAGAAGTCAGGGGTGTAGTGTATTTACTGAAAGAAAGAAGAAAAAACCCCCCTTTTTTTTTTCTGGAACCAGGGATTGAACTCAGGTCCTTGAGCTTGTGAGGCAGTCACCAGAACCACTGAGCTAAATCCCTGGCCCGAAAAAAGCCCCTTTTGACTGAGAACCACTGAAGAAATAGCTGAGCTGCCTCAGCAGAGCTGGGGTATAGATCCCTGTCTGGGAAATATCCTCATGCACATTTGCCAGGAGTTAGATCAGCAGTTCCTTCCTCCAAGTTGCTGTCTACAGCCTAGGGAGAGCCGAGAGCTGAAATTGAGCTCCTGTTCCCAATGGAGTGGAGGAAGCTGCCAGCCCTTACAGGCAAGGAGGCTCTGGGATGAAGCCTTCCTCCTATCATTGTCGGATACAGAAGGGGAGTTCCCAGCAGGAAGGGAACCGCTGGGTTATCCTGTTGTAGTGACCCCTTCTTGGATGGGTACTGGGGGCAGCTGTACACTACCCTTTACCAGACTTACAGGTCAGGGTATCCAGGACACAGGCAGGATGCAGGACAGGAGACGCAGAATACGGGCGAGTCCACTGGGGGCCGCCTGTACTACACCCCATGCAAGGATGTAGGGTAAAGGACACAGGACACAGGCAGAGTCCACTAGGAACCATCCGGCCCCTCCCCTGCCCTTTAACTGGATGCAGGACAGAGGATGCATGACAGAGGTAGAGTCTACTGGGGGTGCCCGCTGCACTCTGCCTCTTACTAGCTGCAGGGTTGGGAGCACAGGACCCAGGCAGAATGAGCCTCTGACCTCTGGGAAGTCCTCAGGTTTCCCTGGTGATAACCCAGATATCTGTTAGCCTATGCAGATAGTCCTTATATACTTGTGAGCCTCTGCCTCAGCAGGGAGTGTGGCCTTTTGAGCCTAAAGTGGAGTAGAAGTCTTGATCACCAGAGGAGTGACATGACAGGACCTGGGAGCCTCTGTGTTCCAGGCAGAGGACAGGGAAGTGGGATGCACAGAGGGAGTGAGTGGTGCCTCTATTCTGTTGTGTTAAGCTCCCACCTTTCATGGATAGGGTATTACCTGTAACCTCCTTGGACCTCAGCCAACCTGCCTGCTCTGTCTGCCTTTCTGTCCTTCCTTCTTTTATTTTTGTACCTGGGATCAAAATCAGGATCTTGTGCTTATGAGGCAGGTTGGTGCCACTGCGCTAAATCCCTGCCCCCCACTTTTGAGAAAAGGTCTTGCTGTGTAATTCAGGCTGGTCTTAAACTTACTATGTAGCCTGGGCTAACCTCAAATTTGTGATGATCCTTCTGCCTCAGCCTCCTGGGTGCTGGGATTATGGACATGCACTGGACAATGTGGATTCTTTTTTTCTTTTTTTGTGGTACTGGGGATTGAACCTTGAACCCAGGGCCTTCACACTGAGCTACACTCCCAGTCCTTATTTTTATTTTTAACTTTGAGACAGGGGTCTTGGTAAGTTGCTAAGTTGCCCAGGCTGGGCTTGAATTTGGGATCCTCCTGCCTTAGCCTCCATAGTGGTGGGATTATAGGTTTAGGGTACTACTTCAGTTTTCTTTTTTGTTAAAATGAGATAATTGAGGCTGATGATCCTCAGGGCACATCTGAAATTCTAGAATTCCTTAACACTACTTATATTTAAGGTTGGTTTTACCCAGGAGGCTTCTGTTTAGAGGACTGGGCTTCAAGATCAGGGGCTGCCCTTCCTCTGCCCATCAATTGCTGGCTTGAGCTCCCTGGCTTGAAGTCCGTCCACAGGAAGATGTCTTGGCTTCTCCTTTTGGATCCTGAAGGGTCTGACAAATTGTGTCCCTCGTTGGTGGACAGAGGCTGTTACTGGGGAAAAGCCTTGTTTTTGTCCCAGAGCTGGGGGCTTGTTCCCGTGCCTGTCATTGAGTCAGGCTTTCCTGAAGTTAACGTCCAACTAAAGAAAATCTGAGAGACAGCAAAGAGATTGTGGAATACTGAGGGCAAAGCAGACACAGGGAAGTAGATCTCCCTTTTCAAGGGACACCCCTGGCTTTTGCTGATGCAGTGGCCATGCGATGGCCTGGTATCAGCATTTACTCTTTGGAACAAAGTGCAACTGTCTCCTTCCTCTTGCAGGATGTACAGAACAAGCTTAGGGAAGCAGCCCAGGGTGTTGGGGACGAATTCCTGAACTGTAAGGTGGCTACTAGGGCCAAGGTAGGTTTCTGTTCTTGAGTATTTTTTTCCCCTTTCAACTAGAGGCACAGTAATTTTAACACTGCATGGTATCATTCTGCCTCTGCTGTGTGCCCAGGATCACTGTGTGCCAGATGCACTGCCCGTTCTCATTTGACCCTCTTTCAGCGGCCCTGAAGCCAGGCTGTACCTGTCTCATGTCCAGGCCACCCGCTGTCTCTCCTCTCATCCGGCAGGACTTCCTCCCGCCTGACATCCAGACTCAGTTCGCCGTGAGCCGGGAGCTCATTCGCAACCTCTACAACAGCTTCTACAAGCTGCGGGACCGGGCCGAGCGGATTGCCTCTAGGGCCATCGACAATGCAGCTGATCTTCTCATATTTGGGAAGGAGTTGAGGCAGGTGGCCCTTGGGTCTGTGGCGTTCTCCAGGTGTGGTGGGTTGTGGGCAAGTGGGGCATCATATACAGGAGGAAAAGCTGGGGATTTCAGCTGGGCAGTGCAGATTCTTGCCAGCCTCCCACACTGTGGTTTTCCCTATGTAAGGATTAGTTGGTGACATGGCTCATTATCCCTGAGAAGGAGGTGCTTGGGCTTGGCAGGGCTCCTTCTCTGTCTGCAGGGGCACAGGACACTCTCCCCTCTGTCTTAGTTTCACCTGGAATGGGGCCCTGCATCCCACCTTCCTCTCTGTTCTCCGTGTTCCTTGGGCCCCTTTAGGAGCTGAGGCTGAAGGCAGGACACGTCATGAATGTCTCTTGCCTGTGTGCTTCACTTCCTGCAGTGCCTTAGGGTCTGACACGACCCCGCTGCCCTCCTGGGCCACTCTGCACCTGAGCACCTGGGCCTCGCTGAAGCAAGCTCTGAAGGGCCTGTCTGTGGAGTTCGCAGTGCTGGCAGACAAAGCTGTGCAACAGGTGAGTGGCCTCCTGCTCCAAGCAGCTGTCCTCTGTGCAGGAAGTGCTGTCTCTCAGTGGGGGAGTACGTCCTGCTGTGCACGCCACAGTCCTGAGCACTGAGTGATCACCACCCCCTGTGAGGAGGTACTACCTGTCCCAGTCTGTTCTGGATCACTCTGAGCCAGGTATGCTTGGGAGAGGGCTGCGAGGGATGCAGACACGCTGGGTTCTGGTCTCTTGATTGCTGACTTTGCTGAGATTAGAAGATGGAATTTGTTTTTTCCCTTTGTAGTTCTAGAGATTGAACCCAGGGCCTTTGCACTGAGCTACATTCCCAGCCTATTTTTTGAGACAGGGACTTGCTGGATTGCCTGGCTTGGAATCTGTCTTTGAAACTATAATCATGGGCTCCAGAACATACTTTTGGGTGGGCCGAATAATTCCCATTTTGCAGAATGACAGGGTAACTTAACTCATCAGAATAACTAAGCTCTCAGCATTGAAGGGGTGCTATCTTCCTTCCACTGACACCCAGATTCTCTTCCTACCCTTTCCCACTCGACACCCAAAGGCCTCCTCTTCTTCCTACCCCGACACCCACTTAACTTCAGGAAGTGCTGCTGCTATTCAGCAGGATCTGTATTTAGAAATCTGCAAAGAATCTGGTAGTCTTTGGGGACTCATTTGAAGATGCGGTAGTTACTGTCAAACTTAAAGGCTCATCTGGGGCTTTTACGTTATGAAGCTGTCAACTAATTTTGAGGGTATCAGCTTGTTGCTTACTTTTGGGGGAAATGGTCTTTAAGCTGCTAATAGATAGTTATAAATAAATTAATGTCCCTGCCAAGGTAGTGGAGCTCCATTGTCTATGTGCTGGAACCACCTGCTGGCCATTTGGGGGCTTTGCTTGCTGGGGGTTGGGTGCTCAGATGCAGATGTGATATGGGGCCTCTGGGGTGATCTACTGCTGATGTGTGTGTGCACTGGGAGGCCAGGACAGTCTCCATGTGGCAGTGGTGGTCACTTGTATCCCCAGGATGCTGAGGGCAAGTCCCAGAGCTGGGTTTTTCCTCATTAGTTTATTTTTGGGGTACCGGAGATCGAGCTTGGGACCTTGTGCTTGCAAGGCAGGTGGCAGAACCACTGAGCTAAATCCCAGCCCTTTCCTTCGTTAGCATGAGGGCTCAGGTGCTGCAGGCTCATTGGCACCTGTGTTTTGGCTGCCCTCGATTTGCTGCTTGAGCCAGAGTGACAAGGACCCTGAGTCTGCCTCCTTCCTCCCTTGCTCTGGCCATCTACATATGACCCTTTCTCGTCCCCCTTTTCCGTCACAGCGCCAAACCATCTCTGCCCACTTAACTCCTTCATACCTCTCTGGTGGCACATCCTTTTTGCAGCTGTGTCTCTCTCCCCTCATGCCCCGCCCAGACCTGCATTCTGTCCCTTCATTAAAGCACCAACTCTCTTGGCTGTGCCTCTTTGGACACAGCCACAGCCTCCAGCGACACTGCACAGGTGTGTGAGTATGGGGTGAGACACAGGTCATAGAAAGCTGAAGGAAGACATGACAGTATGGGGGCAGCAAGAGCAGGGGATGTGCCGCCCTGTCCCCAGCAGAACTGCTGGGTTTGAAAGGGTCTGCCTGGTCTTGGGCAAGAGCTGTCATGCAGAAAGCATGAGGTGGTGGCTCTGGGAAGACAAGACCACCAGGCTTTACACAGCAGGGGCCCCAGCGTCCCAAGTCCTGTGTGGGTCTGTGTTGAATACCTCACCCTTGTTTCCTAGGGCAAACAGGAAGAGAATGATGTGGTGGAGAAGCTGAACCTTTTCCTGGATTTGCTTCAGGCCTATAAAGTGAGTCTGGGCTGCTCTGTGTGCAGGGTCAGAGCTTTTGAGAGTGACCTTGTGACACTTTAAGGGTGTGACTCTGAGGACTCTGAGGAGTAGAGGGGCAGGGCCGTGCAGGAGGACAGGTCTTTCATGGCCTGCTGATGTCTCCCCACAGCTTGCCTGCACCCCTGCAGCTTCCCTCTTGCTGGGAGAGGGAGGTGCTTGACCTGGGCATGGAAGCCTTGTGTGTGTTTTCGGGGGTGGGGGTTGAACATCAGGGTTCTCCTTCAGAATCTAGGGTGCCTGGCCCAGCAGGAAGGGAATTCATCCAGGAGCAGGTGGAGTTTGCAGGAGGTCACCCTCAGTTCAGGGCAGGGGAAGCCTTCTGAGCAGGGAATCTGTGACAAGATGATTTTTGTGTGTGTGTGTGGTACTGGGGATCAAACTCAGGACCTTGTACTTATGAAGCAGGCGGTGGAACAACTGAGCTAAATCCCCAGCCCAAGATGAATTCTGATAGGCAGTTTTTGGAGCCAGGGACTCCTTGCCACTGAGCAACTCCTTCCTAGTGCGGCACTCAAGGAGAGCTGTCTTCGGTGCCTAATGGAGAACATTCTAGAAGGCATACCACTCTGCTACTTCTGGCATGGTAGCAGATGGTTTCTAGAGGCTAATGCTGATTCCCCTGAGGTTTCTGATGTGGTTGTTTAGGGTCCCACCCTTTGATGCCAGTGAGTCTTCCTTTCAGGGCTGCCCTGTCTTCTGCTGACCAGATACCTGCTCTCTGGAACCGGGTAGTGTTTGTAGTCTGAAGTCTGGCACTATCCTGGGCTCTGTACTCCACTCTCCTTCTAACCTGGGTTTATTGTATATAGTATTTTGCTTTGGGGCCTAGGGTATTCTGTGCTATGAGTCCCCACACATTTGGAACTAGCATGTGTCCCTGGGTCTGATCAGGGCCTGGCCCTGAACCACTCTGCTCCTTGGTTGTTTCCTGAGTGAGGATGAGTGTAGTGTGGACAGCCGGTTGTCCAGAAGCTTATTACTGCTGTGTCCCTGACTCCTCCCTCTCCTCTGGTGAAGCTTGGTGTTTCCTCCTGTGGAAGGTGGGAAATCCTAAAGTTGGTGCAGTGGGAAGGGCTCCAGACTGTGCCTTGGTGCTGGGTCCCTCTGGATAGGTGCAGTGGCAAGTGCATGTTGCTCCCTGCAGGACCTGTGTGAGCGGCATGAGAAGGGCGTGTTACACAAGCACCAGCGGGCCCTGCACAAGTATGGGCTGATGAAGAGGCAGATGATGACTGCCACTGTCCAGAACTGCGAGCCTGAGTCTGTGGAGCAGCTCGAGTCCCGCATTGTGGAGGTAGGGGTGGGCGGGATGTGTCTGTGCAGTGTCAACGCCCCCAGCTGCCCCAGGGACATGCTTCCTTCTTGTTCACGGTGCTGTAGCCCTGGCTCTTGGTTCCCTGGAGCTTTGCTGTAGTGGCTGCCTGCTACCGACCGTAGGGCAGCTAACACGGGATTTCACGAGGAGATACAGGTTCTCTGAAAGGTTAGGGTTAGGGTTCGGCGATGACAGTCAGACAAAAGCACTCAACACCGAGGTGAAGTTTGCCAATGCTGCTGCAATTTTATTTCTAACTCTAGGTGTTTATATACTAGTTTCAAGGGCACACCTCAAGAGTGATTTCAGGCACAGGCAGGCATGAGAAAGATAGACAATAGTACTGTAAAAACTAAGACCACAAGGTCAAGTTAAGACCACACCTATATACCATCACAAAAGCTAAGACCATTAAGTCAAGGTAAGACCACACCTATACGCAGTCAGAAGGGGAAGTTTGTAAAACAAAGGACTGGCTTTAGCATGTCACCTTCAGGATCACCTTCAGGACTTCACAGTCCGGGGCTCAGGGTCAGCACTTTGGCCGCCCGTCCTCTTGTGCCTCAATACCTCCCCATCTCTAGGAACATCTAATTGTTCCTGACCTTTCCTGGGCCCAGAATACAATTCTACAGATAATGAACAAATAGTAATAAAGACAAAATAGAACAGAATTACAAATGAACCCAATGTCCCCAAACTGCAGGCAGAGAGGCCAGCTATTCTCTTCACGGCTGACTTTGCATGCGGTGTGTGCCAAGGACCTCCAGGAGGCTTAACCCTGTGGGGACGATACCTCTGGTCTGGTTTCTGCCAGGTGACCGGCATTGTCACACAGACTCTACTGGAGTGGTCGTGGCAGCTGCCTACAGAGGGCTGGCTGAGCCTGGGCTCAGGCAGGTGGTATATGTGGGCCTCGGGGCTCCTCTTGCTGGCATCTGCTGGCCCAGGTGCACAGGGGGCTCTTTTCCTTACAGCAAGAGAACGTGATCCAGACCATGGAGCTTCGCAACTACTTCTCCCTGTACTGCTTGCATCAGGAGACACAGCTGGTCCACGTGTACCTTCCCCTCACCTCCCACATCCTTGGGGCCTTCGTAAACTCTCAGATCCAGGGGCACAAGGAGGTGAGGCCTGCCCTGCCCCTGCCCACACCAGTGCCTTCCTCTTGACAGCCACCCTTCCCCAGGCCTGCACCTCTGATGCCAGAGACCTGGGGAAGTTATTTACATCAGTGAGCAGAACTGGGGCCTGCATGAAGCTTAAAACACAATTCTTGTTTGGATCTCTTGGTCTCATATGGCCAAAATGATAATTAATTCTGAAGTTGTTCTTGTGGTTCTTGGTGGGAGGAGGAGCAGAAAGAGACCAGAAGAAATAGTTTCTTTCCTTCCAGAAGGAATGGAGAAGTCAGAGGGAAGGCATATGGTTGAGAGGAGGGATGCTGGGAGTCAGGTTTAACAGATAGGAGTGTGATCAACTGGATATTTTTCTGGAACCTGTGGTCAGCATCCTCCAGTCTTAGAGAAGTGGTGTTATGAACTGTCCTGAGGGACCCTCTGGGCAAGAGTGATCTAGAGCTGATAACTCCAGGGTCCATCTTTGATGCTTCATTCACTCTTCTCAGCAGTAACATGTGTCTCTCCGAACAGCCTAGAATACTTGTGTGTCTGGCCAGGGCTGAAGCAAAACTTAAAAAATGATTGACAGACATGGTGGTACACACCTGTAATCCTAGGCCTCTGGGAGGCTGAGGCAGGCGGATTGCAAAGTTCGAGCCTAACTTGGGCAACTTGGCAAGACCCTCTCTCAAAATAAATAAAAAAAAAAGAGCGAGGGATGTACCTCATTGCCAGTGTGCTGGATTCAACATCCTGTACTGCCGAAAACCCATTTTCCCTTCATTTTGTTCATCTTTTCTGGCCCAGGTATAGCTCCCACTTTCTGATCTTCCCTGGCCTGGCTGCCTTCCTTTCCAAGTGATCAGTGGTGCCTTCTGCTGGCACTGGGAGCACAGTCCCCTCCTAAAGAGACACATCTGTGCGTGGGCACCTTCAGCCCCTGGAACTAGGGAAAGAGCCCAGGCTCAGAGTTATTGAGCTTTCAAGTCCCTTCTGCATGACTGCTGCAATTTCTCCTGACCTCTGCAGCTCAGTTTCCCTATGGAAAATGGTGGAAAGCATGGCCCTTCCAGTTTCCTGAGGTTGGCTGGGCCATCTGGGATTGGTGCTGGGCACAAGCTGATTCTAATGTTCCTGTTACCTACGATACACAGAGAAATAGGCCAGTGAGTGGGCAGTGGCCTCTAATGCCTTGGCCAAGGCTTGTCCAGAGCCTAGGGGAGGATCAGGGATAAGTCACATGAACTCAGACCTGAAACTCAGGGAGGTCACTGCAGTGGTTGGGGTGGGGTGACAGATGGAGGTTACCAAACCAACCAGGAGTAATCAGGACTGACCAGCAGCCAGACTAGCCCTGCCATAGAGAGGAGAACTGCCTGGGTGTCTGGCCCAGATGTGGAATTGAGTTTCAGAGGCTGCCTTTGACCTGCACAGTCAGAATCAGTGGGGAAAGGGCTCAGGATTTGTGCTGTCAATAGGATGCCCGATGGCTAGGGGGACAGGAGGGTCATCGTTCGAGTGAGAAGTCACCTCAGTCCAAGACAGAGGTTCCCGTGCTGCTGGAGGTACTCATAGTGTTTGGTATTTTTCACAGTACCCCCAGGCCAAAGGAAATTTTTGCATTCTGTTGATTAATGGGGTCCACATATCACAGCCTTCATATAATCTTATAAGCGGTGTTCCTATCCCTAATAAAATACTCCATGGTACCCTGTAGGTTTGCTGGGATGTGAGGGTGCCTTCAGGGCACAGTTTGGGAAATGCGGGCCCAAATGGAGGCAGTAGCATGGGTCTGGAGAAAGCTGTATGAGCTTTCCTGTCCCTGGACAAAATACCTGACATCTTCAATTTAAAGGAGGAGAGGTTTAATTTGCTTATGGTTTCTGTGCATGGAACCTGGCAGAAGGATGTGGCAGAGGAAAGCTGCTTAGTTCATGGAGGCCAGGAGTCAGATCAGGGGACCTGCATCAGAGAGGAAGGGGCCAGGGACCAGACCAGGCTGAGACCTCCAAGGCCACACCTCTGTGACCCACACAGACTCACCCGGAATTGTGCTCCACCAGTCCTGGGGCAGATCCCAGAGCTAGTCAAGTTGACACTCCACCTTAATCACCATGGAGGCAGTGTAGAAAGGTCAGGAAGGTGAGGTGACATCTTGGGTGACTGGTTTCAGGCCTAGTTGTCTGGGTGGCTGGTGACTGTGACCAGCGATGGCAGGGCTGCATTCCAGCCAGGCATATTGTTGTGTCCTGAGCTGTGAGCAGTCTCTTTACTGCCAATGACTTGCTAGTCCTGCCTCCTAGTGTGGATTGGATGTTACCAGTGGCTGGACCTCACTAGTGCAGGCCAGGACCACATGCTGCTCTTCTATCCTCAGCTTATGGCTAGGCTTCCCTGATGCCCACTGTGTCTAGATGTGAAAGTGCCCAGTGGGTCATTAGGTCCGATGTCAGGATCCCGTTTTGTTCAGTTGGTGGACATAGCCTTCAGGTTTGACCTCCTGGGCCAGGCGGAAGGCCAGTTGCAAAGCTGTGGGACACAGTGCTATGAGAGACACCCCACCCGCTTTTCCTTTCTCTGAACCCAGGGGTGTTCTACCACTTAGCTTCATTCCTAGTTGCTTTTAAGATTTTTTAAAATTTTGAGACAGGGTCTCTAATTTGCCCAGGTGGGACTCAAACGTGATCCTCTTGCCTCAGCCTCTTTCGGTGCTGGCAGTCACATTTCTTAAAGTTCCACATGGATTGGATGGTGGCCCTTTTGTCCTGCATGTGGGACTGGGGATGAGCCACCTGTGACCTCTGGATGACCCCCACTGAGGAAGCAGGGCGGGCTGATGTGCCCTCACTTCTAGGAGTTATGTGGATATGGGGGAATGAGGGGGGTTGACTGACTGTAGGCCCTCTGCTGGTCTCCAGACATGGAGCCGCCATGTTCCAGGTGGGCGAGGTTGTGCCTTTCTCTCCTGCAGATGAGCAAGGTGTGGAATGACCTGAAGCCGAAGCTCAGCTGTCTCTTTGCTGGACCCCACAGTGTGCTGACTCCACCACGGTCCCCTGCAGAGGACAGCCTGTGTCCCCACTAGTGCCTGAGGCCACAGTGGAGCTCCCTGTGACTCACTAAAGCCTCTTTTCAAATGGTGTGTCCCTGGCTAATTCCCTTCAGATGGTGGCCACTGCCCCGTGGTGCCCGGAGGAGCTGAAGCAGAGGAGCTCATGCTGCCCAGGTCTGCAGGGGCATAGCCAGCTCTCTCCACCCTGCTTCTGGGTGGGAGGCTGCACTCCTGATCAGCCCTGTGGTCTGTAGGCCTGGTGGAGAAGTTGGGGTTCTCTGGGATGGTTTTCTCTTGGTGGCCAGAGTAGGGTAGGGGGGCAAGGGTCATTCCCACACTGCAAGTCATGCCTGGGGTATACTAGGGGCCCCCCAGGTACCAGAACAGTCCAGAGGGCTCACCTGGTCAGCTGAGCAGGGGAATGGGTGGGCAGGACTATCCTGTGGCCGGCAGCCATCAGGTGAGGAGATGGCCAGTTTCTGATGGGGAAAGGTTGGATTGTGGATTTGGGCCCCATACATAGGTGGTTGGGTCATTGCTTTGTGCATTAGAACAGGTGAGGCAGGAAGGCCAGCTGATTTAGAATGTTGCTGGTATAGTGCAAGTGTTCAGGGAACATGCTCCAGTGAGAGCCTACAGAGCCTAGGCTGGGGCTGCCCTCCAGGTCAGGTGTCCCGAGCTACCCTCTGCACACATCCGTGATCCTGAGGGTGCCACATCTTGAGTCAAGAGCAAGTGCACTGAGATCTCTGAAGTGATGGCGTGGAGGCTCCTCCTGCCTGTCTGAGGCTGCAAGCTGCTATTCCTTTATTAATCTTTGGGTGGTCCGATTGAGGCCAGGCCGTGGGACACTGAGCCAGTGGACAGGTGGGGTGCAGGGGCAGGAGACTGCTGGCTGGGCTTTGGAGGCAGCATCACTTGGACTGAGCTTTTGAAACCCTTTTCCTTTTTTGGAGGCTGCAGGCCCTCCTGCCTACTTGACCAGGGGAGGGCACATCAGGTTGAGGGAAGCCAGCTTCCTGCTCTGTGGGTCAGGTCTGGGTGATGGCTGCTCTCATCCTTCCTGTAATGGACACACAGGAGGGCCCCTGGGTGTCATTGAGCCCTGTTCTCATTGGCCAGGGACAGACTGGTGAGAAGTGGCATGCAGCATTTCTGAAGTTTCTTCCCTCGCATGATTCCTGCCTGCTGCCCATTTCCCTTCCCGGGTAGAGGGAGGCCCAGCTGGCTTAGAACCCCATGGGCAGTGGCCCTCACACTGACAGGCCATAGGGTGAATTAGAGCCACCTTGTTCTGGCAGATAGCTGTGTGGGACCCACCAGGAGGATGTGGTGGCTGTGGGGACTCAGTGCCCCCTGCTGTGTGGATGGACAGACTACCTGTGACTTCTGACACAGTGCTGGCCATTGGGCAGACTGTCCCCTGTGGTTCGGGGTGGCTCATGCCTGTGACCTCCTGCTGAGATGAGGCCCTGGGGTCAGGGGTGAGCGTCTCCAGGCTGGGGAGGCCACATTCTCCACACAGGCTGAGAAGAGACACTCCTAGCATGCCTTCAACAGGAACTGTGTGTGTGTGTGGGGGGTGGTACCAGGAAGTAAATCCCGGGCTGAATGTGCTAAGCAAGTACTTTACCACTGATTTACCCCTCCCCCTAGCCAATCTTTGAAAATTTCGAGAAAATGTCTGCTAAATTGCTCAGATTGGCCTCAAACTTTTGATCCTCCTGCCTCAACCTCCTGAATAGCTGGATTACACGTGTATGCCACCATGCCTGGCCCAAACGAACTTTATCCTTTAAAGAACTGGCAGGGAACCTGAGTGAGCAAGTGACTTGAGATTGCTTAGCTGATGGCCTCTTGCAGCAGTGAGACTAGGTAGGAAGACGGGGAGGTTAGCCTGCACGGCCTGCAGTGCCTGTGTCCCAGGAGTGGATGTGGATGGAAGCTTCCTTATTTGCTGCCTGCCCTCTTACCCCTAGGTGCTTTAGGAAGGGACCTGCTGGAACTGCTAGAACAGCACCCCAGGCTCGGCCTGGCAGTGTCTGCTCAGTTTTGATCTACTTCTGGCTCCAAAGTGAAGGTCTCATGGTGGCAGGGGATCAGGAGTCCTGACCCCCTTTCTGCTGTCCTGCTGCCTGAGTCTCTGTACTCTACTATGGCCATGCTTGGCCCGAAGGAAGGGTGCTGGGCACCATCCTCACAGGAGATGAGGCCTGGTGTGCACAGGCTTGCATTCCTGGTGAGGAAGGCTGAGGGGAGTACAGCTGGGGTCTCAGTTGGTGGCCACATGGCCAGAGGGAGGTGACTGCCAGTGGGAAGTACAGGGCACATTTGTCAGGCCCGCCAGAGTGGAGGAGTGGGGCTGGGCCTGTGGCCAGGCAGGAAAGGATTGCTGTGGGCCTGCATGGGACCATGAGCTGAAATCAGCACTGCTCCTGGTGTTCAAGGCCTTTTCTTGCTTTGGCTTGAGCCAGGTGTTATGTAAGAAGCACTTTCCATGGCTGCAGGAATCAGGTACTGCCACACCCAATAAACTGGAACTGTTTACACAAGACCTGCGTTCTGTAGTTTTATCCATAAACTCCTGTGAAGTTGTTAAACATGTCTGAAAGTTGGGTCAAGCTGTAGGTTCTTTGTACAATGGGTGTTTTGCTCTTCCCCTTCTTCCTGGTGGTGGCCCCTATGGAGAAGAAACAGCCCCTCCTTGTGGGGCAGGGAATGGGACAAGCTTGCAACACTTTTAAACTTGGGGTTTGACACCGAGCCCTTGACCATGATTCAGTGTCCCCTTTCACAGGGTAATGGTGAGAGGACAACATGTTTTCTGGCCTACAGCATGAGGCAGATACCTGGTCCTCATCCCACCCGCCCCATCTCTGCCCAGCACAGATGGTGGCTTCCTGTGGGGGGAGCTGGGTATGTTGTGGCAGTGCCTGGCGAAGACCATTAAAAAAGTGAAGATCTTTATTTTCCTTTCTGTGCATTTTCCAAAAGAGAGGACACAGCCCTGAATGTGATGTCCTGAGCCCAGCTGGGACCACTAATTCATGCTAGATGTCGTCCACCTCATGCAGTGAGTAGTCCAAGATGGTGTCCTGGTCCTGGAACTTAAAATATCCTTGGAACTTCTTTTTCTGAAGCAGGAGTGGGAACCAGTAGCTGTCATCGGGCCACATGTTACCAAAGGGGACCTGGTCCAGCTGGAACCATTGAGGGCGCATTTCTGTACAAGAGGCATAAAGGTAGCTGGCTAGTGCTTGCCACAGATGCAACTGGCCTCTATGAGGTGACACTGAGCATCCTGTGTGGGCACCTGGATCTACTGCATACTCAGTTTTCCTGACTATTGTTCTTCCCAGAGCAGGAAAATGGTGTGCCCTGTGGCCTCAGTTGTGAGGCTCAGCCTTTGCCTAGTACTTCCACGTGAGATGGGCCAGGCGAGACACCCCCCCACCACCACCACCATGGCAGTGAGCAGAGGACTCACCATCGCTCTCCTCGGGTGTCCCCTGCACACTGTCGGTACGAAAGATGTGCACGTCCATCAGCTCAGGGACACCAACAAACTCGAATGTGATGTGGCCCACCTTCTGCAGTGTGTCCACTGTCAGGCCACTTTCCTCCTGAAGCTCTCTGCAGGCAGAGGGATGGGAGGAGGTCTCAGCTAAGCACAGTGCCTGCACCCACAAGGCCCTGGGACCCCAAAAGTAGGATGTATGGGCTGCAAAGATTCCAGGAAGATAACACCACCCAGAGGCGTTTGCAGGTCCCAAGCTGGCCCAACTTGCAGTTAATTTGAACTTTAAAAAGTCCATTTGTGCCGTACCTGTAACCCCAGCTACTCAGAGGCAGAGGGAGGAAGATCACTTGAGTTCAAGACTAGCCTGGCTAGCCTTGGCAACATGCCGAGAGCCTGACCCCTTTTTAAAAAAAATCTTGGCTTGGAGGCTCTGAGGAGGGGCTAAATGGTGAGGAGCTGTGTATGGGGACCACAGGTCTGGTGCATGCCCCTGTATCTGGTGATATGCCCAGGATGCTGAGTCCAACCCCTTGTCTGCAGTCTTACAAGTAAGGGCATGGCAGGAGCTGACTCCTATTCCTTGACTTGGCCCCTGCTCTTTGCTGTGGTGGACACTCAGAGCCTCCCTCAAACTGAATGCTGGAATCCCCACACTTGCTCTGGAGCCCCAAGATCTGCACCCAATGTCCTTCAGGCTCACTGCCCTGACTGTGACAACGTGGGAACAAACCTCAGGTCTCCAGGGTCCCTCCCTGAAGAAGGGCTTGGTTTTGACTTGTTTCTGCCATTGAACCAACTCTTCTGAACAGTGATCTGCAGGACACATTTTGGGCATCTCCCTCCACACCCCGCTTCCTCTTCTTGGGACACCAGTGGCTCATGGAGTTGTAAGGGATCCTTTTACCCTGGAGCAAGCCCTCCCATTTACTGCGAACAGAACCAGCTTGCCCTGCCTAAGTATCTCATGCTGCTGCTAATTTAAGAGAACTAAAAGAATCATATCACAGAGAAGTATGTGCACCCATGTTTATAGCGGCACAGTTTGTAATAGCTAAATCTTGGAAACAACCTATTTGCCCATCCGTTGGAAACTGGATAAAGAAGATGTGGTTTTTCTATAAAATGGAATATTACTCAGCCATAAAGAGCGAGAGAATAGATTCATTCATAGGAAAATGGATACATATTGAAGATATACTCCTAAGTGAAATAAATAAGTCCCACATGTGTAAATACCAAATAGTTTCCCTGGTGTGAATATTCTGCAACAATGCATAAGATTCTAATAAGATTACTGACATTTAGAAATGGGAGGAAAGGAGCTAAAGGTGTAGGGAAGGTGTGATACGTAGGGGAAGAACAAAAAGGGAAAAGAAAAAAATGTGAGAGAATGAAAAGATGAAAATAAAGTGTTTGTAGATGGGGAGGGGAGGAGGGGGTGAAGGGAGGGCAGAGGTAAGGGGAAAAAAATGAGAATCAAGACTTGCCATGTAAAGGTACATGATCCCAACAATGAATGTAACTGTACTGTATCCCTAAATGTACCAATAAACTCAATAAAAAAAAAAAAAAAAATTACATTGTAATTACAAGCACCACATTGTAGGCAGTTCAGGAAACAAAACACCCAGGAAGGCATCACCAACAGAGAACTCCTGGTGTCATTCCAGTAATTTTCCTTTGGGTCTTTTGTCTTTGCACATCTCCTAATGAAAATTAAGAATTTTTCACTTAGTGAGAGAGGTGTGTGGAACACCCCCGCTGGCCCATTGCTAAACTGCTAAATCTGTTTTCTGAGATAGGGTCTTACTACCTAGCTAAAGCTGGCCTTGAGCTCAACAGTGATCCTCCTGCTTCAGCCTCTCAAGTTAGAATTACAGGCATGCACTACCATGTCTGGCTCTGAATGTTTGAAACTTGTAGAATTAAACATTCAACTTCTGGTCATCATGAAAAGCACCATGCTGAGCATTTAAGGTTTGCACACCACACTGTATACGGCCACTTCCATACCTGGGTGCACGTGGTGTCCATGCTCTGTGGGAACCACCTGTGTACTCAGGACTGTGCAGACTTGTGCGTCTTCTGCTGCAAGATGCCTTGCTTCTCCACTGCCCTAGATTAATTTTTAATAAAGTAACAAGCCTGACCATTTTTAGATGTAAATATGGAAATCTTTCTCAGCTTTGATCTCTTGAGTTACTCTATGAACAAAACCCAATTTCTTTCTGCCTATATTAAGTAGGATGCTATTTTGTTTATATGTAAAACAATACATAGTCGGTTAAATGGTTTTCTGCTTGCGGTCTGCAGTGGTATCAGATACACAGCCCCAAAATCAGTACACTGAGATGGTTAATTAAAGTTGGATGTGATCTAAAAAATGTCTTGGGCCACAGATTTAGCTCAGTGGTACTGCTCCTGCCTGTAAGTGCCAGGACCTGAGTTTGATCCCCAGTACCAAAAAAAAAAAATCTTTCATGTGGGCTGGGTGTGCAGCGGCTTCCCAATTAAATGTACTACTCAGCAGGGCCTCCCCCGCCTCCCTGGCAGCAGGCTGGCAGATCTTGCTTTAAACATCATCCCCTACTGATGCAATATTTTGACTGATTTTGGTTAATCCTCCCCACATATGTGGCAGTGTATATATCAATAATCTTGGTGAGGGAGCTAAAGCTCCATTTCACAGGCTGGGGTAATTAGACAGATGAAGACGACCCTGTTACATTTTGCTAGTTTCTGGCTGTATCTGTGATGCACATGGCAGATGGAGAACAGGATGAGCAATAAATTAAGCACAAATACAGAGCAGAAAGCACCCTCCGTGGTGCAGGAGGCGGGGATAGAAAGCCCTGGGACTTGGCATTGGCTGTCCTCTCAAATGGGATCTAGTTGCTGGAATGTTGCTAGCTAGAAAATAAAATTCACGCTGTAAATTAAAAACCCAAACCTGAGGCCTGATGCACTTGTCCCATGAAGTCTAGGTCTCCCAGTGCCTGCCTGTCCCCTAGGTGGAGGCGGAACACCCATGTGTACCCAATGGCTTCCCCCAACTGCTGGGAGCAGACCAGCACTCAGACCCATTCTGCTGTTGTGGTGTTGCCCTTTGAGAACCTCCAGATGGGCTAGGCCCAGCAGTGCAGGGACAGGGCACTTCCATACCAGATTCCCAGGGAGAGTATGCCGGGCTCTGGGGCCTCTGGAAGAACAGCTCTGTTCACATAGGAGGCCAGTTCATCTCCAGAAGTCTGGGATCCCCAGTCTCGGGATGTGTGGTTGCAGTGGCCCTCATCCCTCAAGAGCAGGGAATTCCTGTGCTTTGTTGTCCCGCATTCCTTCTCACCCCATAAAGGCAGGGGTATGGTGGTCTCTTGGCATAGGGTTTTCTTATCCTAACTGCATCCTACACTGCACTCTGGTCTGGCATCTCCGGATGCCCAGAGAGAAGTTCCTTAGGGCTGACCACGCCCCTAGGAGCCCAAGTGGCACCACACAGTCCATAGGGCCTAGCATACTGTGGCTCTGGGTGCTGAATTTCTGACATCAGTCCAAGGGCAAGGCTATCCCTGCCTTAGGAAAGTCTGTGAAGTACGGAAACCTGCCTTGCCTTGTGTCTGGGAGCCCAAGCAGGGAAAGAAGCTGGGGGGAGCAGGTCCTGGGGAACCCATAGGTATATGCGAGCCCCTCAGGACCTCAAGACCTTCACTGTAAGGACATGGAAACAAGGCTCATCCATACAACTATGAAGTTAAGCCATTCTGCCATCTGCAGTGAGATCAACACAAAGGAGGCTGCTGCGTCCCCAGTCTGGACTCCATATGGCCGCTGGCATCCGGTCAGATGTGCAGTCTCTGCATCGATTGCCTGGCCATCTACTACCTGTGGAAGGCCAGCCCTTTGCAGGAGCCAGGCATGGTGTAAAGGAAGCACACATGGTGGACCTCATCCATGACAGAGGTGTCAGAGCACAGGAGAAACATGTTCTTCAGCAAGTGATGTAGCAACTAGGAATCTACAAAAACAAACTCATCATGGCCCTGCTGTCCTGTCATGTGGAAACTTAATTTTACATGGGTTGTAGACCTACATTTCTCTTTTAGGAGACACTTAAGAGAGCATCTTCTTAAGCTCGGGATATACAGGTCACCTCAGTCAAAAATGTTAATCATAAGGAAAAAAATTACATCAAAATGAAAACCCATTTATTAAAACATTAAGAGTAAAAGGGAAGCCATTGGGAGGAAAATATTTGCAGTGTATCCACATATCTAAAGTGGATAGTAGACATAACTGGGTACGGAAAAGGCGCTGGGTTAAAAAGGGGCAGAAAGCACGATTGGACACTCCACAAGCAGGCCTGTGCTGGGCCGTAAACATCAAGCAGACGTCCAGCTTCCCCACTCTAATCAGGGCAAACATGTTCGAACCACAGTGAAATGCTACCTTGTCTGCCAGCATGGCAAAGAGGACAAAGGCAGAAAACACTACTTGCTGTTGGATTCAAGAGAACTAGGCCTCAGACCCCATGGGGGAAACTCCAGTCAGCACCACTGCTGCTTTGAGCCGACTGGGCAGCCCACTGCAGCTGTGGTTTCCCTCCTAGGTTTGGACCCACCAGGAAGTTGTGCACAGATGTGCAGCCAACACACAGGCTGGATCTCACAGCTGCATGCCCCGCACCAGCTATCAACTGGCAATAGCCCAGATGCCCACAGCCGAGTGGACAGATGTGATAGTCACATGCTGGAATCTTTTACAGTGAGGCTATGTGCACACATAACACCCAGCAGGGTCTCCATCAGCATGACACTGTATACCTGGCATGCCAGGCCACATAGTTAGGCCAAGGCCACTTGTCCTGTTACTAGATGCTCGTGTTGATTAAACAGGAGAACATCTTAAAACCCACAGAGGAGTGTGCAGCTTTGTACATGTGTGTTACACTACAGGAAAAATTGGACTAAAATGGAGTTCTGGCCTAGGTGAGTGCTTGTGGGAAGAAAAGGTGTGAATTCCTAAATAAGATTAGAAAGGATGGGAGTGCTGGGGAAAAGAAGCAGGATGAGATTCACGAAGAGCGAGCGGAGGTACCTTAGATGTGAGAGTCAAGAAGGGGTTTGCCCGGTGAGCAGCTGGGAAGAGTGAGTGGGCCACAGGGTGCCCACAGAGGCTCAGTGTATGACAAGTGGGGATTTTAAGAGTACTGGAACCTGTTAGAGGGTTTCACATCAATGTGTGCAAATGCTGGGGTGGGACATGGGGAGGGGTGTGTGGAGACCCAGGGTGGCATAAGCCTGTCAGCCAGTAGAGCGGGGGCCTCAGAAGGAAGGCTGTAGCAAGAGCTCAGTTAGGGCGGCCACACATGCCCAAGTGAGTGGGTGGTCTGAAAATGGTAGTGGAGGGAGCGTGGCCAGGATGGACACAGGTTCCATCCGAGAAGGCTGGCCTCCTGCACCATACCTGCCTCCTTCCCCACTTCTTACCTGGTCAGAGAGAAAACTACCATCATGCTTAGCCATGAGGGTCTGGACTAATGGTTTCTTGTTTATTTCAATCCAGAAGTGAATGATTATTTACAGAGGGCAGGAGGGCACAGTTCTGAGATCCTGAGATAGTTCATAAGCAAACACCTCAGGGCTGCGTGGGTGGGGGGGACTTGGGAGTTATGGTTGTCACTGACAAGATGGGCAGCTAGAACTGATCACCTGGTTCAGGCCCCTCAACTTCCCTATCCATCCTCTGCTCTCTGCTGCCTCCACACTTCTCTGCACAGCCCCTGCACTCAGGCCTCTGTACTGCTGTGATGACCACACCCCGTCAGGACCCTGGAGAGTCTCCCTGTGCCCAGTCATCCACCACTCTGTCCTGGACACCCAGACCCCTCCCTCCTGCTTGCCTTTCCTGAGCTAGTCAGCCCCACACAGGTGGGGGCTATGGCCTGATCCTTCCTGTCTCTGAGTCTGACACAGAGCAGAGGGCTCCACAGATTGATTCTGGCCCTGGCAGAAGATGGTCAGTCAGTGGATGGCAAACCAGGCCTTGGGTCACCTGTCCCTGTCCCTTTTGCTTCTGAACACACCCCAGCCGACTACAGGCTGGGTGGGTGCCCACTCACCAGATGGGCCTCTCTTCAAGCTGTACCATCTTGGCACAGGGCCAGCTGTAAGGCCTGGAACCTGCCAAAATGACACAAATGTGTGCTTGGCAGGGAGGTCTCAGCCAGGACTCTTCACTGAGGGCTGTGACCCTGTCATGCCCTGTGAAATAAACCAGCAATTAAAGAATGGGAGATGACTCTTCCATGTAGTAAGGTTGTCATTATTTTATCTGCACATGTACCTGAGTATTCATGGTCCAGCAGAGAATAAGACATTTCTTACTGTGGGTTGAAATTAAAAGAAAAACGGAAGGAAAGCCTTTGGGCTGCAGTGTTGCAGCTTCCCTCCTCCCCAGGAACCTCTCTCTGTATCTGGGCTTTTGTTCTCCTTCAGGGAAAATGGCTTTAAGGTTGACACAACCAGAACAACCATAACAAGACCTATTTTTGTGCAGAACTTGGCAATGCTTACACTGACGACCTCATTTGTCCCGAAGAGCCTGTGAGGAGTGAGAAGGGCAAAGAGGTTGATGTCTGGAGGACGGTGTGATCTTGGGCTAATTGTTCAACCTTTCTGGGCTTCAGCTCCTTCCCATGGGGAGCTGAATGTGGAACTGAGATTGTGTGTACAGAAGATTTAGATAAGGGTGACCATTCTCTCCAAAAATGAGGAAGCCAAATTGCTGATGAGCCCTGTAACTACACGAGGAAACCAGCACTGTGCAACTGAAGCCATAATGCACAGTGGTGTGCCACACACATCCTGGACAAAACCACCACCACATGGGAGCAGCTGACACGTTCAGCACTGCAGGCCAGGCAGGTCCAAGTCCTCTGCATGTGGTTTCTCATTTATCTTCACAACACTCCTAAGAGGTAGGCTGCTGAGGTTGTTATTCCCCTTTTGCAGATGAAGATACAGAGGCTCAGCCAGGTGTGGTGGAGCATACCTGTAATACTGGCACTCTGGGAAGCTGAGTTCAAGGTCAAGGCCAGCTTGGGCAACTTTAGTGACTTAGATCCTATCTCAAAACATAAATGAATACAAGTCAAAAAGGGTTAGGGCTATAGCTCGGTGCAAAGCCCCTGGGTTCAATCCACAGTGTTGTAGAAAAGTAAATAAAGAGGCTCATGGTTAAGTACATGCTTCAGGTTACACAGCTCCAGGAGGCAAAGTTCTGATGTAGCTCTACACCCATCCTGCCTGCTAGGTGGGCTCTGTGGCCAGACACACCCCCTCTTCCTCACCTCTTGGCCCCATCTTCAATGGTCTCTCCTTCTTGCACCTTGCCACCAAAGCCATTCCAGCGGCCAGCTCCAAAGCCCCGCTTCTTCATGCCCAGCAGCACATGCTGAGGCTGCAGCACCAGCACCAAGGTGTAGAGCCTGGAGGTGCCCATGGTTCCTTGGGACTCTACAAGCAAGTAAAAGGGCTGGGTTAGCCTGAGGGGAACATGGGCAGTTGTGGGTGCCACATGTGTGCAACCTGGTGTGAAGGAGATGCACTCCGGGAGGCAGTGAGAGGAATCCTGGTGCTAATTACCCAGGTCTGTGACGGGCTCAGCTAGCAGCAGGTGCAAATGCCCTTGAATCAATTATTTTCTGAGGCAGACAGAGCTGCCCTCAGCACCCAGCAGTATCAGGGCCACGCCTTTTGCTTGTCAGGGTCAGTCCAGCAGCAGAAGGGTCTCAACTTCACTTCCCACTTGTTGGTGCTCTTGGCTATAAAGGACAGCACAATTTTCCCAAGGCTGATGGTTGTTCCTTTATCTATCCCAGGAACCTCAAGCCTGTATGCACAAGCAGGGCAGGATGGCCCCATGGAGAGCCCTATCCAGTGGTTTTTTTAAGACAGGGTCTCACTATGTAGTTGAGACTGACCTGGAACTATGTAGCCCAGGCTGGTCTTGAACTCACAGTGATCCTCCTGCCTTAGTCTCCCGAGTGTTGGGATTACAGGCGTGCACCACCACGCCCGGCATCCAGTGGTTTTCATTTCAGGCTTTGGCCTTGTCCTTTTATTTTTTTTCTCATTGAGTTTATTGGTACATTTTAGGTATACAGTAGTTACATTCATCATTGGCATCTTGTACCTTTACATGACAGATCTTGGTTCTCATTTTTTCCCCTTCCCCTTGCCCTCCCTTCAACCCCACCCCCCTTCCCTATTTACAAAAACTTTATTTCCATTTTTCATTTTCTCATATTGGCCTTGCCCTTTTCATTCATAGGGGCTCGCTCTTTCCAGCCTACTGGGCCCATCTCTGACTCTCTGCAGTAATAGACCTCCACAGTTCCAGACAGGGGCATGTCCACATTCCTGTGATAGCAGGGTCTATTTCACTCTGCTCTTTATGTTTGGCCCTTTCTGGGAGCACAGGTGTTCATGGTCCAGAGAGAGATTGAGGGTGTGTGTGTGTGTGTGTGTGTGTGTGCGCGTGTGCGTGTGCGTGTGTGTGTGTGTGTGCGTGCGTGCGGGCATGGAGCCTTTGCCAGGGCCTGCTGGAGAAAGGGCCCTGGAGAAAGCAGAATCGACCAGGACCAAGTTCTGGCCTGGGGAACCATACCTGTCCAGAGCAGGATTCTGAACCAGGGATCCTTCCTGGAAGTTATGGTGTCTAAGCAAAGGGACCTGAGGTGGGGCCTGTGGTGGGGTTGTCAGGCAGGGGAAGTGGGATGCAGCTGGGTTTCCATTTGTCTTGACAGTGACCTACTTGTGGCTAAAGCCCTGACTCCCTAAGTAACTGATGCTGTTGCTGCTAGCAGTATCCACTTCTCCTTATTAAGCACTGACTACATACAGCTGCTTTTCTATGTCTAGGGGTGTGGTTACAGGAATCCCTGATACCAAAATCTGAGGATGCTCATGCTATTAGGCAGATAGTTAGACATGAGTAGGCCTGAGGGATGAAGGGGGGGGCAGTGGTGTCCAAAACAGATTACCAAAAAATTAAAGAAAAGCTACAGTATATATAATGCATTTATAATCTTTTGTTAGGTCTCCGGCTTAAATGGAGCCCACAGAGCACAATGTCAGTTTAAGGTTATACATTGTGCACATTCCTTCTGATATCTGGCCACTTAACCATCTATCTCCAGAACAAGGCACAGTGCATTCCTGGCTGTTAAAGTTTACAGGCACAGTATCAGGAAGGGAAAGTTCTTTAAAGACCTTCCTGCCTCAGGCTGGGACCTGGTTTAAATTAACAGTTTATCTTTTTAACATTTCTGAGGAAATGTATGAAGACATTTTCCAATTTTTAGGTAACTTCTAAGTAGAAGGGTGATCAGTATCATAATTACCCCAGTTCCCTAGATCCCAAGAATAATTTTTAGGTACACAAAAAATGTGTCCAAACTCCCACTCAGCGCAGATGTCATCCTGGGACTGCCTGCCTTCTTGCCTGAAGGTGTAATTCCTTCTATATACTTCACAATAAACTCTACCTATTTTTCAGCAGGGCCTATGTGTCTTGACTGAATTCTTTCATCAGATCAAGCAAGATAGGGGCCAGTTCCTCAAGGTATTTGCACATAACCTATGCACATCCTCTTGAGTACTTTAAATCATCTCTAGATGATTTATATCTAATATAAACACATGCTATATAGTTGTAATACTGTGTCATTTAGGGAATGATGAAAAAATGTATCATTACAGATAAAATTATTATTTTTCTTAATATTTCTGATACACTGGCTAGATTGAAGTTGAGCCCAAGGGTACAGGGGGCCAATGTATTTTCAAGTTATCCTCCTTAATAGACTCAATACTGAAAGTAGTGAAGATTTACTTTTCCCATTTTTAGAGAAGACTGAAGCTCACAGAGTCTGAGTTTGATCCAAGGTCACAAAGCAGACTCAATAACTAATCCTGACTGTACAGGATGCCAATGTCTAATGTGCCCACAGCCCTGGGTAAATCAAAAGTTCCTTAAGAAAGTCCCTGATGCCAGGGTCTGGGTGGTGGCAACCTTATTCTTTAACTACATGGCCTGGTAAATAGAGGCTGTTAATAGAAGTATGCTGAAGAGCTCAGCCTCGCAGGCGATGGGTGCTCGATAAATGGCTGGCTTTGTTTTGTTTTGGTTTTTTGAGACAGGGTCTCACTATGTAGTTGAGACTGACTTGGAACTCACTATGTAGCCCAGGCTGGTCTAGAGCTCACAGTGATCCATCCTCCTGCCTCAGCCTCCTGAGTGCTGGGATTAGAGGCGTGCGCCACTATGCCCGGCTTTTGTTTTAAATGCTGGCTTTCAAGTGGCTATGCTTAGCCCTGGGTCCCAGACACTAGTTTTTCACCCTCCGTGATCCCCCTAACCCCACAACCCATCAGACCTTCTGGCCCAGATCAGCCTGCCCATTGACCCTATTATCGTTTCCGTGGTACCCCTCCACTCCCCACGCCTTGGCTCGCTACTCGTGTCTTCCCCCATCCCATCTCCCGTCCCTGGGTCTCTTCTAGTACCTCTTGCTCTCTCTAGATCCTGTCTCCCCGCTCCCCAGCTTCCCTAGTGTCCCCGCAATCCTCAGCACAACTGTCGGCGCGCCATCCTTACCCGCACGCATTTTCCCGGGCTCGGGGGGGGCGGGCCTTGGACCGGAAGTGATGGAGAACTTCCGGTGGAGCGCGTAGGTCGCGAACGGGCGGTCATGGCAGGGTGAGTAGTTTGCTGCTTGCTTGCGGGAAGGCGGGAAGGGTTGGGTGCCCCAGTTTCCTCATAACGAAGAGGAGGTTCTGGCCCATTCCAGCCCGCAGTTCGGGACGTGAAGCAGGGCATGGGCCCCTTACGCAGCCTCCCGTCGGGTCTCACGGGGCCTGTGGAGAGGGCTGAGGCAGAACCCTGACGTTTGGGGTTTGCTTGTAGTCTTTCAGAGCACAGTGAGAATTATTTCTGCCAGAGGAAGGACTATTCCTTTCATTAATGTTCTCAGTACTGTTAAGCAGTACTTGGAAAGTTTTGGTTGAGTATTATAAGTGAGTTGAGTGTCAGTGATGTTTGAGTTAGAGCCCTTCGCTGAGAGCAGAAACCTGTGCAGTGTCAGCTGGCTGCCCTACCCAAGCGCCGTGGATCTGGCGGCTTAAATACAGTAATTTCTTTCTCACATAGTGGAGGGTGGAAGGCGCAGATGAAGGTATGGGCGGGGCAGGTCCCTCCTGAGGCCTCTCTCCTCAGCTTCTGCATGCCGTCTTCTCCCGTGTCGTCACGTGGCCGTCCTTCTGTGTCTGTGCCTTAATTTTAGAAGGGCAACGTCCACCCTAATGACCGCATTTTACCCTAATTATCCCCTTAAAGACTTTTTCTCTACCTACAGCCATATTCCTGGGAAACTTGAGTTTTGAGAGGGACATAGTTCAGCAGAGTGTTGTCAAACTGCCTCCTCTTTGGGCCTCAGTGTTGCATCTCTGAAAATGAGTGCGTTGAGCCTGGGAACCCTCACACTGTGACCTCAGCAACGTGATGCCAGTCTGCTTGTTTCTTTTTCTCCCACTAGGTACTGGAAGCTGCTATGTGCTTCCCTCCAGCGGGAGAGGTTCCACACGGCTGTGCAGTGCTACAAGGGAAGGACAGGCCCCGAGCACCTGTGGCTGATGCGGCATTTAAAGGACCCCTATGTGAAGGCTGCGAAGATGGAATGTTACCGCTGTCGGAGTGCCTTCAAGCTCCTGGAGATGAACGAGAAGCACAGGATTCTCCGGCCCGGCCTCCGGGTGTTGGACTGTGGAGCAGCTCCAGGGGCTTGGAGTCAGGTGGCAGTGCAAAGGGTCAATGCCACAGGTGCAGGTGGGGCCTCCATGCTACTGTCAGCACCTTCTGACCACCACAAGGCTCAGGGGATGCTAGCGAGCTGCTTTCTCTTGGGTACACAACAGTTGAATCACTCTCAGAAGTGCCTACTTCTTAGGTGATGCTTTAGGAGTAATGATAAAAACGGCCCACTGACCTTTTCAAAATGAAAGACAAGGACTAGACTTATGACTCCGTAGTAGGAGCTTGCCAAGTGTGCAATGGGTCCTGGGTTTGATCCATGCACAGAGATGAAGTAGAAAGGCATAATGAAAAAATCTCACTGTGCATGGTGGTGCAACCCTGTAATCCCAGTACTCAGGAGGCTGAGGTGGGAAGATTGCTGTAAGTTCGAGGTCAGCCTGGACTAAAGAGTGAAATCCTGTCTCAAAGCAAAGAAAAGAAATCAAATCCTACCACTTAGGTACAGCATTAATATGTTGGTGTGCATCGTTTCAGTTTGGTTTTTTCATACATATTTACATTTTCATCTATTTTGGCCATCATGGAGCTGCCTTTTTCCTTGATGATACATATATCAGCATCTTTCCACAACAGTATAGCAAAATCAACTCCAGCAGTTTCCCAGTCCTTTTCTGGAAGTCCTAGGGTCTCACAGTGGGCCTGTTGGGGCTGCTGCCTCTCAGGCCTTAGGAAAGGCTTCCTGGCCTGAACACTGGATTCTGCACTCTGGGTCAGCCTCAACTTTTATATTTTATATTTTAGTTTTGAATAAGATATTCTATATAATACAGTTCCCTTGATTAAGAAAGAGACCATATAGTGGCGCATGGGAGGCTGAGAATGAGGAAAGTTTGAGCCTAGCCTGGGCAATTTAGCAATTTAGAGAGCCTCCTGTATTTAGAAAGCCTTCTGATTCCCCTAATTGCTCTTCAGAAGTAGGAAAATGTCCTAGTTTAACTTTCTGGAAGAAGCGATAGAGCCCAAGAACGAATGGGTATCCTGAGCTTTCTTTCCGAGTTACAGAAACGCAACCAAATTCTTTTACTTTCAGTGGAAATCTCTTAAGATTCAATACATTTGTATAATAAAGGTAAGAAAGGTCAACAACATAAAATGAGATGGGAGGTGTCCTACTTTTCTGGGCTGAAAATTGAGGATTTTCACGTGTGAAAAGTGAGGTACTATTCAAAATTCCAGTTTTTTTTCTAGAAATAAATTCTTCCTCCTCCCTAAACAGCCTCTTTTTTGGGGTGAGGTATTCAGTACCAAGAAGCCTTGCAAAGAGCTATATTCCCAATCCTTTTTAAAATTTTAATTTTGAGACAGAGTTTTCCTAAGTCACTAAGTTGTCAAGGCTGAGCTAGAACTTGCAATCCTCCTAGCCTACCAAAGGGACTACAGGGGTTATAGGCATGTAATAAAAGGACTCCAAATAGCCATTTTATTAAACAAACTGAATCTGGAAATGTGACTATACCCTGAACTTATCAAAACCAAAGCTCACCATCAGAGCTGAGGTTCTCCTCAGTGTAGGGAGTGGATAGGGATTAAGGGCACTGGGAAAGGCTGGCTTTGAGTGGGTGTACTGTGATGCATAATGTGTATAGTGGCACTTTAAGTCTCTTCCTGGGTCCTGACATTTCGTGAGTTTATGTGGTACAATTTTGTGAGAGGATTTAGAATAAATATAGTCACTGTTTCTTTCATAGATCCCAGCTCTCCTGTTGGCTTTGTGCTTGGGGTAGATCTTCTTCACATCCACCCTCTGGAAGGAGCAACTTTTCTGTGCCCTGCTGATGTTACTGACCTTAGAACTTTCCAGAGAATTATGGAACTTCTCCCTTGTGGGAAGGCAGATGTAATTCTCAGTGACATGGCACCCAATGCCACAGGGATCCGGGACCTTGATCACGACAGGCTCATCAGCATGTGTCTGTCCCTTCTGGACATGGCTCCAGACATTCTGCTTCCTGGGGGAACACTGCTTTGTAAAACCTGGGCTGGAAGTCAGAGCCATCTGTTACAGAAGAGACTGACTGAGGAATTCCAGAACATGAGGACTATAAAACCTGAAGCCAGCAGGAAAGAGTCATCAGAGGTCTACTTCCTGGCTACCCAGTACTGCAGAAGGAAGGGCTCTGTGAAGCAGTGAATTTTCCTGCCACTCTATGGGTCTTTTGTCCTCATTCCCTGTCTCTCTCATGGGTGCTAGATCCTCTTGAACCACAAGTAGAGCCTGGGTGTTCTGGGAGTGGCTGGGATTAGAGCTCATCTGAGAGATGAGCAGGACCACAGGGAGCCATTTTGTTTTTCATAATGGAAAAGACATGACAAAATATATCTAAGGGGAATGAAAGATGATTTTAAAAACCAGCCTTCCATATCATGATTTTTGAGGAGAAAGTTATTGGGAGAAAACCAGGTGGAGATTGAAGGATGTAAAGAGGCAGATGGAAGGGAGAATGAAAACAGAACAAGGTGTAGTGATGGACTTGCCCACATAGGCCTTTATGGAGCTCCCCAGTTTAGAGACCAGTAATAGTGAACATTTTACAAACAGCACACTGGCACATAGTGCCATAGGTTTTCCACTACTGTTACAGACTGTTGGCATGTTACAGAGGAACAGGTGTTTCTCTGTTGCTTTTAGAACACAATGCATGTGTTTCCAGTTGTTACTGTGGCTAAACAACATAAAGTAGGAACACCTGAAATTTCTATCTGGGGATTAATTGCCATCTTTCTGGTGAACAATCCAGAAATACATTCATTTTTGTAGCATCGAGAGTTCCCGGAGCTTTTAGAGGAGACATTTGGTATGAATATGCATGAGGGGTGTGTGTGTGTGTGTGTGTGTGTGTGCGTGCGCGCGCGCGCGCGCGCGCGCCTTGTTAATAGCTTCATCTTCTAAGACCATAAAGATAATTGCCAAAGCAAGCAGCAATGTGTGGTGTTCATTTATTTTCTTTTACTCTTCCAGGAACTCAGATTTATCAAAGAATATAGATTGCATTGCGTCAAAGGATTACCACGCTTTCAAGTTTGTTTTTTAAATTGATTGGTTTCTTCAAGACCATTTCCTGGAGGCACCCTCACCCCTCAGGAGGAGTCTGTTTCCTGTAAGGATGAATCCAAACTGAGAACCTGTGGGAAACACTCTCAGGGATGTCAGTCAGTGTCCTAGGAAATAACTAGCTCCCTAAAGTGAGCTGTGGGTCAGATATTTTTACTTCCTTGTTTTGGGTCCCAGTCAGGGAGGTCAGTCAGCGCATTACGCTCCCATTTCATTTATGGGGTACACAAACTTGATAGTCATGTCTTCTGGAAAAAACTAAAAATTCACCGTAGTCCCTTGGGAATGGAACCTTCTAAGCCAAGGCTGGGTAATGGAGAAGGGTAGAATTCATAACAGAAAAATCACTTCTGGGGAAGGCTCCACGGTCAAGTACGGAAAATGTTTCCATAACTCAGGGGCGATCTGATCTCTGCTACTTTGGATGGAGCTCGGGCACAGGTCCTGCACTCCGGGGGCGTGGAGAGCTCTAGTAAAACAAATACTTTGTATTTCAGGCGCAAATTATAAGGTTATATTCAAACGAACGCTGTTAATTTTGAGAAGAGTTACGTACAGAGAAATTTGTCCCTAGGAGGCCACCGTGGGGCGATGCTATTCTACACACTACGGAGTGAACCAGGCGGAGGCCGTCGCAGAAGTGCGTCCCGCGGGAAAGCAGTGGGGGCCTACCGACCATACCGTAGTCCAATCTTTGGTTCAGAGATCTTTCCGCGGGGGCTTCTTGGGGTGGTCTGCTCGGGGATACGGAAGCTGAAACCGTAGATTAGAACGAGCGGCGCAAGGATTCGGTTCTTTACGGCTTCCATTCGGTCTCGCGAGGATGATGGCGCGACTCTCGCGATAAGTGGGTGCGGGCGGAGAAGAGGGAGATCCGAGCAGCGGCGGCAACTGCAAGCGGGCGGCGAGGTGATCCGCTAGGGGTGGGAAGCGTGGTCTTGGGAGCGGGGTCCCGAGGGCGGAGTCCAGGGGCCGCCCCTTTCGCTGGTTTCCGCACTCCTGGGACCCCGCTATCCGTTTGCACAGTCCGGAGTTCGAGGCGCGCCTTCTGCCTTTGCTGTCTGAACGGGTCTGCGCGAACCTGGGGATCTCTGACCTGTCCCCGCCCCCTTTTAGGCAAGGTCACCATCCCTAGTCCTCCTGACCAGGGCCCCTGACTTGTCCTTGTGCCCTGTAGCACGATTCCCATTCCTGCTCTTCCTGGCCTGGGTCTGGGTGGTCCCTACTCTGGAGACCCTCTGACTTGTTCTCATTCCTTCTGGGCACTGTCCCTGTTATCTCTGTGCACTGTCCCGAACGCCGTTCCTCCTGGCTGAGATCTACCCTGGAGACTCCTGGCTTCTTGCCCCCTCTAGGCACGGTCTCCACTCATGCCCTACCGGGCTGGGTTCTCCATGGCCCCTCACCCTAGAGACGCCCAGACCTGTCCTCGCCCCCTTTTGGCACTATTCTCCTCATCTTGCTTCTTCTGGCTGGGGTCTGCAAGGCTCCCCACCTTGGAGACTCCCTTGGTTTGTCCTGGCCAGTTGTGGTTTGTGTCCCCTGGAAGCTCCCTCTTCTCTGGCAGGAGGCCCAAGTTGAGTAGGTGGATCCAATTGGTGTTTGGTGGAGTGGTAGAGGCTGTTGCCCGAGGGTGACTGCTTACCCTGTTGTCCCCCTGAGCTGGGCAAGGCCCCCTGTGCTGGTGTAGCAGATGTGGTTGTTGCTGTTGCTTCTGTTTTCATTGGAGGAACTGTGTCCAGAGAACCACTTTTGGGGCTTGTAGAGAGCGCATGCGTTTGGATAAGGCAATCTCACCAGGAGACTGGGTGGTATTCAGATAGTAGGATTCTTGGTTACACCTTAGGTTTCTTGGACATCCTCCTTTCTTTCTTTTTTTTTTTTTTTTTTTGATTGAGACAGAGTGCTATCCTGTTCAGGATGACCTTGAACTCACTATGTAGCCTAGGCTGGCCTCAGGGATCTCAGTGATCTTCCTGCCTCAGTCTCCCAGGTGCTGGAACTACAGGCATGTGCTGCTATGCCTGGAAGCCTTCCTCTTATTGAGGCCCTTAAGGCAGTGTGCTCCTGACTCCCAACTGAGGAATTCTCCAGAGCAGTTGAAGTGTGATGGTCAGGTGGCTGGGAAGTTTAGGTCTCCATAGAGAGTATAACCTGAGCCAGTGCCTTATGGTGTGCCTGTGGGACAGCCTGGTTCTAGGAAACTGAAAGTGCAGGATTTTTTTTCCTTCCTTTCTCCCCCGCTCCCCTTCCCTTCTTTTCCTTCCTTTCTTCCTTTCATGCTGATGATTAAACACAGGGCTTTGCCCATCTGCCCATCAATTGGAAACTGGATAAAGAAGATGTGGTTTTTCTATAAAATGGAATACTACTCAGTCATAAAGAATGAGAAAGTAGATTCATTCATAGTTAAATGGGTACATTTTGAGGATATACTTAAAGGGGAATAAATACGGCACACATATGCAAATACCGAATAGTTTCTCTGGTGTGAAAAACTAAAATAGTACTCAAGATCCTAATGGGACAATTAGTAAATAGGAAGAAAAGAACCAAAGGTGTAGGGACAGTGAGAAGGATAGGGAAGGGGGAATAAGGGAAAATAAAAAAAAAATTAGAAAATGTAAAACTGGAATTAAAGTGTTTGAAGGGGGGGTGGGGACAAGGGGAAAAAATGAGAACCAAGACCTGGCATGTAAAGGTACAAGATCTCAGTAATGAATGTAACTGTACTGTCTACCTAGAATGTACCAGTAAATTAAATAAAAAAAAATAAACAGGGCTTTCCACATGCTAGGCAAGTGCTGTACCCTGGAGCTGCACCCCCAGCCCACGTGTGCAGGGTTTTAGCCATCTACTGTGTTAATAGATCAGGTCTCGGGTTGCCATTTGGGGAGGAGTATGGAAAGTGTGGTCCTGGTCTTATCTTGGCAATGGGAGCATTTAGGCTTGGAGTGCAGAGCTCTGCTGCATCCCACTGTGGAGGCCTGATCTGTTGGTCTCTCAGCACTGGGAGAGCCTGTCCGCCTTTCTTACCCACTTTCACTGGGTAGTATGTGTGAGAGGGTGCTTGCCAAGTGAGAAACTCAAGATGCACGGAAAGATTCTTAACTTTTTTTTTTTTTTTTTTTTTTT